TACCCGGTCTCTATTCTAGGAAGAAGGTGTAGAGGAAACCAGTGGAGAGGATATACCGCTCCGAACCAAACCTACATCGTAACCCATTATTTTTGCTAAGTGACTTTAATCTGCTCCATTATTTTGCACGCAGGTGAGTTGGTGAGTTGTTGTATTTTGGTTTTCCTTTTTTTAATTATTTGATTAAGTTTTTCCTTCTTTTCTTTTCTTTGATCATTTCTTAGTTCATCACTCAGTTTTTCTTTAATTTCTCAAACCGACTAAGTTTCCCATTCACGGGCACTTCCTTTGCTGCCTCTGAGATCATTGGTTTCCGTTTTCTAAGTCACGCCATGTGTTATATTCTTTCTGTATTTCTTTTTGTGAGTGTCAAAAAGATGTAAAAAGAAAAACTTTTTTCCCTGTTTGTATTGTTTTATTTTGTTTTTGTCATAAGAGCTAGCACTCTTGCAATTCCGCTTGTTTTTGTTTTTTTGACAAAGAAAAGAGAAGTTGTAACCCTTTTAAGATTAATGAGGCCCTCCCGAGCCAGACACGGAACCTACTTTTTGTGCATTTCCCCTCGGGGTGACACGTACTGCCGTCTCTCACCTCAGCATGCAACATATGTGTACCTCAACTAAACTTTTTGGCCTTTGGTTCACTTACTGTCAGTTATGACGTTTTCTCCTATTATGGATTTTTGTCTTATATACTTATACTTATTTTCCTCTCCATCCAATAACTATGATTTATTCATTAACCTGATTTGCAAACGCTTTGAACCTTCATTCAGGCGCCAGCTGAGTGTGTGAGTGCGTTTGTGACATGGCCTTTTAACATTATAGACTCAGTGCCCCGTTCTGTACACTTTAACTTGGTTTTATACAGCCCCTTTCTGTGCTGTAAACACAGCACTCGAACCGTGTGCTAACCCTGCTTCAGCACATTAATCACAGTGTGCGTGCAGAGCTATGGTTCAACGCAGCACAGTAACTGAAGTGTGTGTGCTGTTTCAGCAAAGCACTGTAAATGTGTGTGTGCAGAATAATATTCTCAGCACAATGTATTAAGTATGTGTGCTTTTCTACAGTTCAGCACAGTACTTAAGGTTTGTGCGCAGCATTCTGATTTAGCACAATTCCCCACGTGTGTATGAATGATCTGGGCTGGTGCTGTTTCCCTACGAGTATGGTGTGCTTCGCTCAGCGCTGTGCCCTGAGTGTTTGTGTTGTTCTGTGACCCTTCATAGCGACCTACGTTCTCTTACTCTACTGTACCAACGCTGGGCAATCTTACTTGATCAACCTAAACAGATCTTGCTTGGCTAACTAACACAGCCACGCGCGGGGGCAAGCTACTGGAGACGAGGGCGGGCGACGTGTAAACATGGATGGGACTGTGTAACGACAACCATAATCACAGAAATCTGAAGTTCGAGGGGAAAGGCTGCTCGAAGATCCGAGGGAGAGAGTCCAACCGAAAGACACAGAAGAACAAACCTTTTAGAGGTCAAATAAAAACAAATTCGGTATATACTTAATCCCCAAATTTTTCATTTTTCCAAACAATCACATTTGGAAGAATTTTCCTATGGGGAAAACCATTTTCATGATTTTGTTGAGTACTGAATAATGATAATGATATTGACGGCAATAATGATCAGAATATTGATAATAATAATGATAATAATACTAATAATGATAATAATAACGTAGTAATTATAATGATAATGATAACGTAGCAATTATAATGATAATGGTAACGATAAGCATAATGATAATTATGAATATAGTATATCATTGATAATAGTAATAATGGTGATAATAATGATACTGCTACTACTTCTACTAATACCACCACTACTACTAATAATAATCATAATGATAATAATGATGATGGTGATAATAGTAATAACAATGATAAAAAAATATATTGATATTGATAATAATAATGATAATGATAATAATGATAGTGATAAGAAAAAGAGAGAGAGAGACAGATATAGATAGATAGAGATAGAGAGAGAGAGAGATAGAGAGAGAGAGAGAGAAAGGGAGGGAGGGAGGAGGGGAGTGGGAGAGGAGGAAGAGAGAGAAAGAGAGAGAGAGAGAGAGAGAGAGAGCAGATTTCTCTTGATTTTAGAATGTGAAAAGATGGATTAAGCAAATTATATCAGCTTTGTCTTCTTCATATATTTCCATCTAAGAAGAACTTACTAGATGATTTACTCCTGAACTCATCTCTTACTTTTTCACTAAAATCATGAAGAATATGATTTTCATTCACCTTTCATCTTAAGATACACAGAAAAATTTATGTCTTTTTAATAAGAAATTCACAATTATTTTCGAAAACATTGCATTTGGCGTCATCCTTTAATCTCATTCTGAACATACCCTTGGCCTCGGTTCCGTTTCTGTGTCTGAGAGGTTGGTTAAACAAATCAATTTGACTATAAATTTGAGAGGAAATAAAACAGTGTAAAGGGGAATCACTTTATCGTCTTATCACTACCGTT